GCCACGGCCACTGCCACTGCTACTGCTACTGGTACTGCTGCTGCCACTGCCACTGCCACTGCCACTGCCACTGCCACTGCCACTGCCACTGCCACTGCCACTGCCACTGCCACTGCCACTGCCACTGCCACTGCTGCTGCCACCGCTGTGCTGATGCTGCTGCTACTGCTATGGCCGGTTACGACTACGGCGACTATTATTCTTATTATTGTTATTACTACTACTACTACTACTACTACTACTGCTACTACTACTTACTACTACTACTACTACCACTTCTTCTAGTGCTGCTGCTGCTAATACCGCTACTGCTGCTACTACTGCTACCAGTATTGCCATCGCCCACCGCTTCTCGCAGTCGCGATGGTCAACGGTCAACACCATTTCTCTTGACGTGGATGGGGAGACTTTGCTACATGCCCCTCTTGTCGCTTCGAGATCTCGCTACCAAAGAACAGTTGCAATAGCTCAATGTAAGTCTCAAGTTTGTTTAGATATCAGCCACCAGCTCGTGAGTTCATCACTGTGTGCGAAAGCGAGACAGACAAAACAATTTCACTTGGCACATTGACTCCACAGTGCATCCTGATCATCGAAGATCTCGTTTGCCTTGGCTTTTTGATTCGGCACCGGCAGCTTGCAGAATAGTTCCAATACGGGTTGTGGCTCCGGCATGCTTCAACTGGTGATGCGATAATTAATATTGATGGGGATACGAACATTCGGCATCACAACAACCAGAAAGTTGCTTGCGCCGCTGTGTCTGATACCACTTTGAGTTTGAGTCTGAACCGGACGGTGATATTGGACCTTCACCCACACCTAATGTCGGAGTTCCGCGCATCGGCATCTTGAACATGTCTTGGCATGTGGGCACGTGTCCTTGCCACCGGACTGCTTGCCCGGATCAGAATGCCGCTATCGTGACGACTGAGTGAGGGCCCTAAATAGTTGGAAGTAATTACGAATGTTCGCGTGGCCGATTGTGCAAAGGCCCATGCCTGCGCCCCTCGGATTGACCCGCACCTTTGACGGGACAACCTAGCCCAAGAAAGCATCACCCCATGCAAAGCGGGGAAACAGAGAGCAATCACAACAAACAAAAAGCATCCGTAAGCTGCAACCAACATAGTTCAGGGTTGAGGGTAGTGGGGACCGTAAATACCGGACCCGTAGCTAAGCACATAACTTCATTCGCACCTGCCAACCTTCTAAAGCCCATATGAACGAGAGTCACAACATACGGAACATAAAATCCGTCTTGCGTCCTTTCGAAAGCCTTTATGAAAGCATAGGCATTGAAAACAGGGTCTTTGAATTACGGAGTCTTGAAGTCATGAGCCCCCAAAGTGTTAAAAGTAATTGCAGTCTTTGCTCACATGCCAGGCCGATTCCTCTTGGCATCTGGGTGGTTTCTGTTTCGGGCAGGCCATTGCTCACCATCTGAATATTTTTTCCCAAGCCCCAACCGCAAAATAAGAATTGAACCCATCAAAAAATTTGAAAGACGTGAATCCCTAAGTGTGAAACTTCCGAGTGCAAGGGTCGGGTGATGGAATTATTGGGAGTTTGGGTTTTTGGCCTCAAGCATCAGTCGTCATTCCGAGTCAACCCTGACACGAGGGAACAAGATAAGAAAGGGATGAGGGCAAATACTGAGATCATGTGCATGAGGATGCCTGGAAAGGATACGTGCGATTTTTGAGAAAACCCCAAACCCAGCTTCAAACCCGAATTGGAATTTCAGGGCATAATGTTTAGAGTTCGGTTTGTGCGGTGTTGCAGTAGTTCCAAGAATTGCTCTGCTTATTCCGACGTGCGATTTCGGTCGCACGATACGCTTTTGTAGAACCCGGTTCTGCATAATAGGTGCCTTTTGGTACTCTTATTTATGATTTGTTGAGGCGGGCTGTCTTCTGGGAACTATTATCGGAAGGCAGACCCGACGATTTTAGAGTGTAAAGAGAGTCCTTCACAATCTTGAGGGAGCCAGGACCCCTAAACCCGAGAACCCTAAACCCAGGAACCGTAACTAAACTATTAAACCAGGCACCCTGAACCCAGGAACCCGAAATTTGGGTGTATGATATTCGTAAGTAGCTGTATGCGTATGCATTTATACACATGTATCTTTAAGTGAGTGTATATACATATATGTACATATATACACACATACATCTACATATGTATCCATGTACATATGTGTCTATGTATGTATACATGCAATGTACATGCGTTCGACTTACATGTATTGACTAGTGACTCCGCGATTGCTTCTGTACTGCGGTTATGTTCCTTGTCAAGTACCGGCTTTACATCATCGATGTTAGAGGTTGCTCTCGCGATATTTCGGCCACTGAGCTTTCAAGAGACCCCGCTGCGGATCTCGAGCCCCGCACCGTCAACCTAGTTCCCTGAAACCTGGAGGAGAAATCTAATCCCAAGAATGAACACCCCAAAATAAAAGCCCAAGGCCTAACCCAAACATAATATCGCAGCGCAACCGCACCGCAGACACGAATCTCAGAATCAGGTTAAAACCAGATAGGGATCCTACAGTTTACCTGCGGTTTGTGGCATGGGACGAGAGTTTCCGAAAATTAGGGTACTTACTTTGGGGTCCTTATAATAAGGATCCTATTATTTGGGGTGCTATATTAGGGTCCCCTATTTTCGGAAACCCCCAAATGTGACAGAAAACCTTTTGCGCCTGGAAAGGCAAGCCCTAAATCGTTCCTGCAAGCAGGCGGACTCGGCTGAGACATCCAAGGCCAGCATTTGAGTTATGCTGTCAAGATCAGAAAGTCGCTTGGGCACATGGTATTTTTGCAGGACAGATCTTGCTCTTTCGGATCAACCTGGGTGTAGGGTCTGAGGGCAATATTGCTCAGGGTTTAGGGTTTCAGGTAGTAGGAGTTTAAGCTGCGTGTAAATATTGAACCGTCTTGTGTCGTATACTAATTGTATGTGTATTTCTACTTAGCAACCACGAGTACTCATGCAGGCATATACAGATGGATTGATAGACAGATATGTAGATAGATAGATAGACAAAAATCATACATGGACAGATAGGTAGGTAAATAGATAGGAAGATAGGTAGATAGGTAGATAGGTAGATAGGTAGATAGATAGATAGATAGATAGCTAGATAGGTCGGAAGATAGATAGACAGATGCATAGGCGCAACCTTATGTATGTATGTACACGCACATGTAGACAGGTTTACAGATGTTCAAATGTATGTACAAATTCATGCATACATGCAATTCGCTGCCTATACCACATGTACATATCATTGTACACACGACGTGTATGCACATACATATACATATACATATACATATATATATATATATACAGCCGTATCCCTATGTGTGTATACCTATGGCTGTGTGTGTACTGTCTTGATTTACTTTTTGTTCTCTCTCTCTCTCTCTGTCTCCCTCACGCACACACACACACACTCTGTCTCTCTCTCTCTGTCGCTCGCTCTCTCTTTGTATCTGTATGTACAGCTGTATAACTGTGTTTTGTGAATTGTTCATGTTGGCATACGCAGTTGTACTGCAGGAACCGTCTTGATGCTTCTGGATATAGGCAACACACGCCGTTTAGTGACAAGGTTTCGAGAGACATACAAGCGTGGTCTCTGAGTGGTTTCTGCAACGCACCGTGGGGAGGAGCTGCAGTGCAGTGGACCGTTTCAGGTTCAACGCGGTGGCATTTGGGTGTAGAGTTGCAGGTTTTCTCGATGATTCCATGTACTTGTAGATCGTACAGTTATGCATAGGCAGGAGTTCGTATACGCCCAAGGAATATCTGGGCATATGTTCCTTCAGGCATTCGTTAAGGGTTTACTGGATTCCGGTTTAACCCTAAACCCTAAACCCTAAACCCTTAAGGCAAAATTCTCAACCCTGAGCCGCACGCCGCGACATCCTAAACCCTAACTTAACGACCCAGAGGCAGGGTTTAGGTTAGGGTTTAGGGTCTAGGGTTTAGGGTTTAGGGTTTAGGGCCCAGAGGCTCCAAAGTAGTTCCTTTATGGGCTTGTTATGGTTTTTTGGTAAGGAGTTATAGTATACTATCCAAAAAGGGCCTACATAGGAGCCCGTGGGCAAGCCCTAAGGAAAAAATGATTCCCAAAGCGCTCGGGTCTAGCAGGGTCCGACTGGATTCTCGATCCATGAACCTGGACCTTCAAACTGTGGAAGCCTTATAAACTTATATGGCTGTATAGGGCATTTGAGCGAAAAGGCTTGCAAGGTGATAAGAGAAGCCCTAAGTCGGGCTGATGTAATAAAGGGGTCGGAATGATTAGTACTGGTATCCCCTCGTAGTTCCCTATACTGCCTTTACAGCAACCTTTATAGATCCCTTCAAGTCAAGGAACCCCAGAGAAAGCGCATGTTCTTCTGCTCGAAGATTTCTAGACACGGGGATGTCGAATTCTCGAGTGCGTGGGCTGGGGCGTATTGGCTTAGTTTTGGCCGCACAGGCTGCGTGGTTTCTACCCTCAGAAGCAGAACCTGAGCCAGAATCTAATATAAGGGCCTCAAGAATTACCTTGGGGGTTCTTTATTATACTTCTAGTATCATGGGCCCCAAAGCCTTATTCGAATTATTAAGGCCCCTAAACCCTAAAACCCTTATAGCAGCCCTTATAAAACCCTTCAAGGAACCCTTCAAAGCCCCAAAACCTGGTTCTAATTGTTAAGGCCCAAGACACCCCTCCTTCAGGGCTCAGATGGAGCCCTTCGCAGGTGGCTGAGATTTGGATCCACGTGAAATGGGAAGGTGCAGCTCCTGGTTTAGGGTTTAGGCTTCCTTTGAGATCTTTCAAAAGGGGGTTGGGGAGTTTAGGGTATTTAGGGGTTTAGGGATCCTCTGATGATTTATTAGGGTTTTGGGTTTTGGGATCTTTACATGATGTTGGGTTTGGGGTTTATAGGGGCTCTCTCTCGCTCGCACTCTCTCTCTCTCTCTCTTTCTCTGTGTCTTTCGCTCATATAGTCATGCATACATATATTTGCATATATCGGTTTTGTAGGAGTTAATCAAGTTTCGCAGGTTTACAGAACGGTTTACTGGATTCGGGCATTCGTCTCCCACTTTTGCCCGACGTGTCACAAAGACGATCATGCGTGCGCGGCGTGCAATACGCCGACTGCCTGTCATGTTTGAGAGCTGCCATCGAGTGATGCTGGGAACTCGACCACCTTCAAAGCTTGTTGACTGATTGTGAGCAGGTGCGAAAAGCGAGTCTTAGCCGAACAGCGCGAGACTTAACACTGAGCGCCCGACCCAAAGCCTACGTCCCCGAAGCTTAACATGAATCATGGCATACTCCTTCAGCCCCTGGGCCCAAAAACTCCAATAGCAACTCCAACCGCCGAAGCCAAACAACAGCAAAAGCACGAGATCACATCCCGCAAACGAGAGCACGAATTGATTTTGTGTGAATAATCCTTGCATTGTGGTCAGTGTCGCGTGAGCTTGTCAGGGACACTGTTGACTTAGCCAATGTCCAGGGGACTCTGGCTCAAGATGCATCGAAGAGTTCATGTTGGCTTGGAAAAGAGACTGCACGTCTTGTGTTGCACACATGCTGAACGTAGAGACACATCTTATGGGCATTGCATTTTGTATTGAGGTAGCACTTCTTTCAGCTGCCAGTCTGATCAGCATTCTCTTGCTGATAGTGGGGAGAGCGCTGCCTGAATTATCATTTTGTGTGTGTGTGTGTGCATTGGAGGGGCTCTGGCTGCATATCGTGTGCTCTTTACACCGAGTGGGTTTGTTGCAAAACAACGCTTTCGAAGTTGCCTGCACATGTGGCGAACGCGGTTTCCATAGTCCTGCCGTTGTGGATGCAGGACTGCAAATCCTCAAACTAAGCTATCAGCCTCTAGCTCTCAACCTCAACCCGGACTCAACCCCTAAGCCCCAAACACTCAGTTCAAAACCTACGTCTACCTAAGCCCTACACTCTAAACGAACCCTAAACCGTGGTTTAGATTATTATCTAAATTTCACCCGACGTGAAGGCTCTGTCCCACTCAACGACACTGGTGCTGAGCTTAGTGCTCTTTGTCTCAGCTCCCATGCAGAAAAGTGTAAGACCAACACACCGGCTGAATGTGGGCTGCAGTTTCAGCTGGAAAGAGTACTGAGGTCCTGTGTATATTGTGGCTTTTGACACTCGTTCGACCCGTTGGGGAGCAGTCAAGGAACGGACAGGGCTTTCGGATTAAGGATTGAAGGTAATGTGGAGGGCTGCTCAAGGATTCCTGTTTAAAGAGGTCTGCCGTTTTATGGATCGGATGGAATCTGCTTATTGCCCTGGAAAGCTCTGTCATACAATGCCGCCGCACTCGGTTTTTTCATCACGAAAGCTGGTGTTGTCTATCGTGGGTGCAGAATATCAAGAGGCTGTGTTGGGCGGCTGTTGAGAAACTCCTCAACACAGCAATCAGCACTTTCGCAGAGCAAGTGCTATCAAACTCTTCCTTGAGGCTCGAAGGACTCACATTTTAAAGCTTCCGGGCCTAGAGTTTAGGGTTTAAGGCTTTTGCGCTACTTTGAGCCAGGGTTACGACACCCTTACAAGGCCATAAAGACCCTTACGCATCCCTAGTGTAAACCCGATGGGTAGTTCTCTAAATTAGAGGCCTTTTTAGGCTCCTGTTTATAGGCTGGCGTATTATACTGGAGACCGACAAACGGAGGCTAGTTTGGAGAACTACCCAGATGCTATTAAACCGTGGGGTCAGAAATGCCTCGGAATTGGTTTGGTCGAGCGGCCCGAATGATTTCTCACACTATTTCTTTAAGGCTCCACCTTGATAGATGACAGTAAACCCTAAACCCTAAACCCCAAACCGTTTCTTTAGGGTTCCCCCCTCATATAACAACAGCAAAGAAAACTCCAGAGCTTCATGTTTGATTAAGTCGCGGGGCTTCGGGCTTTGGAGTTTGTTCGGAATTAGAGGTTCCTCTTAGGGTTTAGGGTTTAGGAGTTTAGGGTTTACGGGTTTCAGAATGCAGAATGTGGGCTTTAAGGCTGTAGGGCTTCAAGGGTGTAGGGTTTTAGGGTGCCTTCAGGGATTAGATAACGTGCGGTGTTAGGGTTTTTGAGAATATCTGCGGTGCAGATTTTAGAATGCTTATAGTAATCACTCTACTACCATTATAGATCCCTCGCTCATACCCTGACAAATCCTTCTTGAACCCTTGCAAAAAAGATTCTTGAACAACCCTGGCCGTTCAACCCCCAGCACCTTTACGGATCCCTTTAAGGATCCTTTTAAGGATCCTTTTCAGATCCTTGTAAGATCCTCTTCAGGTTCCCTGTAAGAAACCCCAACAGCCTAAAGCGCGAGCTTGCGCCGTGCCGCTCTGCTTCCCCGGTAGGACTCCTGGGATGAAGCCACGTGCACCCGGGCCGCATTCAGTTTTGTGCTTTGGTGGTTTTCGATTAGGGTTCCGTAAAGGGAGCCTTGTTTGAATCCTTAAGGGATCTATACAGGGGTTTAGGGTTTTGGGGTTTAGGGTTTTGGAGTCAGGGTTTCGAGGTTGTGGGTTCAGGGGTTGGGGCTTTAGCGGCTTGATGAGTGCTTTTGCCAAGGTTTCGCGGCCTTCTTTTACGGTGTTTATGATGGTGACAGCAGTGTTTCATGGGGTTTGTGCCGCTAGTTGAAAGTTCTTCGAAAGTTGTTCAAACTTAAGCCGCTCTATGAGGGTTCGACAAGCTGTATGATGATCTTGCTAGCTGCTAGGGTTCTTTAACGAAGCTTTGAGGCTAAAGTTGATGGGGCTTGCCGATTCTCATAAGGGAAACCAAGGCCTATTCTTCGGGTGAGGGGCTGAGGCGATATATGAGGGTTTTGACGGGGTTGTCTCTCTTCAAAGTCCCAGAAAAAAGTTTCGTTATGATGGTTTTACAAAGTACTCCCTCCCTCGGCCAGACTCTCGATCAGAAACGGCGCTGTGCAGCCTCATGTTTGCGTGCTAGTGAATCCTTACTCTTACAGCCATTGCAACCTTATGATACTTTAGCAGTTCCCCACACAGTAGCCTTGACCAACATTACGGTATCCCCTTTCTGTATTGTAGTACAGCCCTGCTACACCAAAATTCTACATCAGCCAGGGCCTCCGCATTGTTCCAATGTACCCAAACCCTAACCCTAAACCGCTAAACCACCATAAAGCCCCATACCCGAACCGCTAAACCACCATAAACCCTCAACCCTCAACCCCGGAATCGTTTTACTCGTGCAGCAGAAAAACGCCCTAAACCCTAAACCCTAAACCCTATACCCTAAACCCAAAAACAGAACAAAGAGACAAAGAAAAAGCAAAGCGAGGCCCGGAGAAGCTGAAGGTGGCAACGATGACGCGGAAGCTGGGCGGCTGGCCCTGCGAAGAATGCAGGGCTCGGAATCTTTCGAAGAGGGTTTAGGGTTTAGGGTTTCGGATTTTAGGGTTTCGGGTTT